ATATATGTATGTATATATATGTATACATATATATGTATGTATATATATGTATGTATGTATATGTATATATGTATATATATGTATATGTATATATATGTATATATATGTATATGTATATATATGTATATATGTATATATATGTGAAATGTTTTCTGAGCTAATGGATAAAACAGGTTTTTTTTGTAAATAATCAACTGGAAAGTTGGAGCATCCTGGTTAATTGAGATTTTGCTGTCTATTGGTACAGCTCGTACCAGAGTTTGGTTCAGGAGCTACCTCCTTGTCATTGAATTGATGAATTATAATGTTTGGTATTCAGATACATTCAGCAAGAACACTTGAAAACTCCTCAGCAGTTATTTTTAAAGGCTTACTATGTTTTTTGTTTTTATTTTTTCACTGGCTATTTTGGATAAGAGAATGTTTACATCTTAATGTAAAAAAAAATGAAAACAGGTATAAATATTTTATGTATAGAAATGCTTTCTTTCATTATTTGGTGCCTGTATCTCTGAGTGTTTATATCATTTCCCCGCCTGTATCATGTTGCCCCCCCCCCAAAAAAAAAAACACTGAATTTGGAGAGAAATTGGTGTAAAGAAGTCCTTAGGCTCTTTAGAAAGAATCACTTTAGGCCTCCAAGGTGTATGATCTTCTATTTATATTGCACTTTTACTTCTAAGAACAAGTCTGAATTTACCTCCTTACAGTGAGTTTTGTAGCATAGGAGCAGTAGTAGCTGCCCTCATGCCAAGAGGGAGGACACAGAAGCGATCAGATGGTAACGACTTGCTCAGCTCACATAGCTGAGCACACACAACCCTAATCTAGTACAGGGTTCTTTGCACTAGCATGGAACTATGAAGGTGACCAGTGTTATATTCAGGGAATATGACTGTTCTCGGTAAAGCCAAGGAATTGAGGTGTTTTGAAATTGGTGAGTCCAGGCCTGCTGCTGGGTTATTTTATCCTAATAGGTGTACTCTATTTTAATTTAGATAATTCCTAAATACTGCTTTTTGATTAGGGTGTACCATGAGAGCAAAGATACTTCTTTTATATACTTAAAGTAATTGCAATATTTGCTTGCTTTTTTCTGTCTGTATTTGAAATGTATTTTTTTTTAATTACACTTTAAGTTCTAGGTACATGTACAGAACATGCAGATGTGTTACATAGATATACACGTGTCCTGGTGATACGCTTCACCCATCAACCCATCATCTACATTAGGTATCCCTCCTCATTTTATCCCTCCCCTAGCTCCTCACCTACCAACAGTCCCCAGTGTGCAATGTTCCCCTCCCTGTGTCCATGCGTTCATGGTTCAACTTCCTCTTATGAGTGAGAACATATGGTGTTTGGTTTTCTCTTCTTGTGTCAGTTTGCTGATAATGATGGTTTCCAGCTTCATCCATGTCCCTGCAAAGGACATGAACTTATCCTTTTTTATGGCTGCATAGTATTCCATGGTGTATATGTGCCACATTTTCTTTATCGACTTTATCACTGATGGGTATTTGGGTTGGTTTCAAGTCTTTGTTATTGTGAACAGTGCCACAATAAACATATATGTGCATGTATCTTTATAGTAGAATGATTTATAATCCTTTGGGTATATACCCAGTAATGGGATTGCTGGGTCAAATGCTATTTCTAGTTCCAGATCCTTGAGGAATCGCCACACTGTCTTCCACAAGGGTTGAACTAATTTACACTCCTACCAACAGTATAAAAGCATTCTGATTTCTCCACATCTTCTCCAGCATCTGTTGTTTCCTAACTTTTTAATGATTGCCATTCTAACTGGCATGAGATGGTATCTCAATGTGGTTTTGATTTGCATTTCTCTAATGACCAGTGATGAGCTTTATCTCATATGTTTGTTGGCTGCATAAATGTCTTCTTTAGAGAAGTGTCTGTTCATATCCTTTGCCCACTTTTTGATAGAGTTGTAGGTTTCTTTCTTGAAAATTTAAGTTCTTCGTAGATTCTGGATATTAGCTCTTTGTCAGATGAATAGATTGCAAAGATTTTCTCCTATTCTGTAGGTTGCCTGTTCACTCTGATGATAGTTTTTTTGCTGTACAGAAGCTCTTTAGTTTAATTAGATCCCATTTGTCTATCTTGGCTTGTGTTGCCATTGCTTTTGGTGTTTCAGTCATGAAGTCTTTGCCCATGCCCATGTCCTGAATGGTATTGCCCAGGTTTTCTTCTAGGGTTTTTACGGTTTTAGGTCTTACATTTAAGTCTTTAATTCATTTTGAGTTAATTTTTGTGTAAGGTGTAAGGAAGGGAGCCAGTTTCAGCTTTCTGCCTATGGCTAGCTAGTTTTCCCAACACCGTTTATTGAATAGGGAATCCTTTCCTCATTGCTTGTTTTTGTCAGGTTTGTCAAAGATCAGATGATGGTAGATGTGTGGTGGTATTTCTGAGGCCTCTGTTGTGTTGCATTGGTCTATATATCTGTTTTGGTATGAGTACCATGCTGCTTTTGTTATAGTAGCCTTGTAGTATAGCTTGAAGTCAGGTAGCATGGTAGCATGATGCCTCTAGCTTTTTTTTTTTTTTTTTCTCCTCCTTAGGATTGTCTTGGCTACGGGGCTCTTTTTTGGTTCCATATGAAATTTAAAGTAGTTTTTTCCAATTCTGTGAAGAAAGTCAATGGTAGCTTGATGGGGATAGCATTGAATCTATAAATTACTTTGAGCAGTATGGCCATTTTCATGAGATTGATTCTTCCTATCCATGAGCATGGAAGGTTTTTCCATTTGTTTGTGTCCTCTCATTTCCTTGAACAGTGGTTTGTAGTTCTCCTTGAAGAGGTCCTTCACTTCTCTTGTAAGTTGTATTCCTAGGTATTTTATTCTCTTTGTAGAAATTGTAAATGGGAGTTCACTCATGATTTGGCTGTTTGTCTGTTATTGGTGTGTAGGAATGCTTGTGGTTTTTGCACATTGATTTTGTATCCTGAGACTTTGCTTATCAGCTTAAGGAGATTTTGGGCTGAGATGATGGGGTTTTCTAAATATACAGTCATGTCATCTGCAAATAGAGACAATTTGACTTCCTCTTTTCCTAATTGAATGCTCTTTATTTCTTTGTTTTGTGTGACTGCCCTGGCCAGAACTTCCAATACTATGTTGAATATGAGTGGTGAGAGAGGGCTTCCTTGTCTTGTGCTGGTTTTCAAAGGGAAGGGAATGTCCGTTCAGTATGATATGAGCTGTGGGTTTGTCATAAGTAGCTCTTATTATTTTGAGATACGTTCCATCAATACCTAGTTTATTTAGAGTTTTTAGCATGAATGGCTGTTAAATCTTGTCGAAGGCCCTTTCTACATCTATTGAGATAATCATGGTTTTTGTCATTGGTTCTGTTTATGTGATAGATTATGTTTATTGATTTGCATATGTAGAACCAGCCTCGAATCCCAGGGATGAAGCCAATTTGATCGTGGTGGATAAGCTTTTTGATGTGCTGCTGTATTTGGTTTGCCAGCATTTTATTGATGATTTTCACATCAATGTTCATCAGGGATATTGGCCTGAAATTTTCTTTTTTTGATGTGTCTCTGCCAGGTTTTCATATCAGGATGATGCTGGCCTCAAGAGTTAGCGAGGATTCCCTCTTTTTCTGTTTGGAATGGTACCAGCTCCTCTTTGTAACTCTTATAGAATTCAGCTGTGAATCTGTCTGGTCCTGGACTTTTTTTGGTTGGTAGGCTGTTAATTGTTGCTCCAATTTCAGAACTTGTTATTGGTCTTTTCAGGGATTCGACTCCTTCTTGGTTCAGTCTTGGGAGGGTGTATCTGTCCAGGAATCTATCCATTTCTTTTAGGTTTTCTAGTTTATTTGCATAGAGGTGTTTAGAGTATTTTCTGATGTGGTTTGTATTTCTATAGGATCGGTGGTGATATCCCCTTTATCATTTTTTATTGCATCTATTTCTTCTCTTTATTAGTCTGGCTAGCAGTCTATCTATTTTGTTGATCTTTTCAAGAAACTAGCTCCCGGATACATTGATTTTTTGAAGGGTTTTTCGTGTCTCCATCTCCTTTAGTTCTGCTCTGATCTTAGTTATTTCTTGTCTCCTGCAAGCTCTTGAATTTGTTTGCTCTTGCTTCTCTAGTTCTTTTGTGATGTTAGGGTGTTGATTTTAGTTCTTTCCTGCTTTCTCTTGTGGGCATTTAGTGCCATGTATTTCCCTCTACAAACTGCTTTAAATGTGTCCCAGAGATTCTGGTACATTGTGTCTTCATTCTCATTGGTTTCAAAGAACATCTTTATTTCTGCCTTAATTTCATTATTTACCCAGTAGTCATTCAGGAGCAGGTTGTTCAATTTCCATGTAGTTGTGCAGTTTTGAGTGAGTTCCGTAATCCTGAGTTCTAATTTGATTGCACTGTGGTCTCAGATAGTGTTTATTATGATTTCCATTCTTTTGCATTTGCTGAGGAGTGTTTTACTTCCAATTATGTGGTCAATTTTAGAATAAGTGTGATGTGGTGCTGAGAAGAATGTATAGTCTTTGGATTTGGAGTGGAGAGTTCTGTAGATGTCTATTAGGTCCACTTGGTCCAGAGCTGAGTTCATGTCCTGGATATCTTTGTTAATTTTCTGTCTCATTGATCTGTCTAATGTTGACAGTGGGGTGTTAAAGTCTCCCACTATTACTGTTTGGGAGTCTAAGTCTCTTTGTAGGTCTCTAAGAACTTGCTTATGAATCTGGGTGCACCTGTATTGGGTGCATATAGACTTAGAATAGTTAGCTCTTAATACCTGGCCTCTTTCCCAAAAGCCCTTGAAGCAGCATACCAAGATAAGATATACACAGCGATGCTAATAACATATCAACAGCAAGGGAAGAAAAACAAAGGCTTAACATACATTATTGCATGTAAAATTTGACTCTGGAACTTGCTGGAAATTAAGGCTAAGAGAAGGGGAAGAAGTTATGCACTGCCCTATCAGTAGGTCAGAAGCATAACGGTTGCTTAGGGGAGAGCCTTTCCTGATGCCTTCTGCTATAGATGTTCTCATTGAGGGTCCTGTGAAGTGCTAAAATGAACAGAATTCTTGATTTTCACACATTTACATGTTATGATTGTGCCTTGCATCCTTACCTTGTACCAGCTTTCAAAGGCTTCCATTTCAGGGTTTGGGGGATTTGTGTAGGTGTGGTTAATAATGGATTTTGTTTCCATAAGTAAGAATTCTTATTCTAAGCTGCAAATAATTATTAAGCTTGAAAATAATTTGAGACAAATGCCTTGAGACACGCAGAACCTTTGCCGAATTCTGTAATTTGTAAGATAGAAAGTGAATGTGCTATCCCTGGATTAGCATATGTATATTGCAGTAAATGTGGTCTTCTTCACAGTGGAATTTAGTGTGGAGAGATGTGCAGCTCCATTTCTGTGAGGATGTGTGTGGAACCCCATTAGACTCCTACTTTGTCGGGGCTCCACAGAGACCAGAGGTTTGTCATAAGGGACCTAACCTCCATGGCTCCTGAGGTCAGCTGCTCCCCTAAAAGGCAATTGCTTGGCCTTTATTTCAGAAGGTTTACTAAGTGACCTAAGGATGTACTCGGAGCTGTTTGGTTTCCATGGAATTCAACTCTGTGTGTGTGTGTGTGTGTGTGTGTGTACACACCTTCCTTGTTACTATTTTAACAGACTTTTGGCTCACTGTAAGAGTTAGAACTTATGTGAAGTGTGTGGTAAAAGAACACATACATTATTCCAAGAGCAGCCACTACTCACACCACATTGAACACTTAACCTTATCACAGGTTATAGCTCAATCTTTGGGACCACATTCTTTGTCTACGGTCAAGGCTTTATAGTATTTTTCTGCCTTATTATCTCTAAGGAACTGAAGTATTTCTCCCTAAAAATGCTATGGTAAAATCTGATTTTTGGGTTAAACTGGCTTTAGTAATATCCTCACTAAAAGTTAACAAAAGAAATCCAGCTCCACTGAGTTTGTGTAAAAGGGCTGAGTCAGCTAAGAATGTTGCTCTGAGCATTACCAGTAAGGTTGGAGGTATCTAATCGTCAGTGTGCTGGTGCTTCTGTTGAATGCTGGCAGATTGCAGCCTCTTGTTTAAGCGTGAGTTTTTCAAAGAAAAAAACTGGCTGCCACTCTTGCAGTGGCTTTCTTGAGTGGCTAAGCTTTCTAGGTTATTTAGCAGATGAAATAGAAACATGGAAACACTGTGGTTGGAAGCCACGTGGTGCGCATGCTCCTGCTTGTTAACTAACAGTGAGTGGTGTTGATGTGTGGGCATTCAGTCGTCTTCTGCATTGGCAGTGCCAATGTGTAATCAGTTGTCTCACCACAATTGGGGGTTTTAGGAAACTCAGAAATATCCGCCTTAGCTCTCAGAGTTCTTGAAATCAGTATCTTAGTCTTAAGAATTGTTCCTTGTGTTTCTTGGCAACAAACAGTATTTTCAGCCCAACCCCACCCACAGTTTACATTTGCCCTTTTCTCCTGCATCTCACAGCATAGCCATACAAGCAGCACCCGACAGAAAGCACATTCAGGCGCCATCTGACAATGGGAAGCAGGACTCGGGCATTTCATTCCCCATTTGCTCCTGGTGTCCCATCCTCAGTTCTGCCTTGCTTACCTTCTTTGTGCCAGCACTTTTCTTTGAGGCTGTATTGCAAAGGACCTTGCCTAAAGACAAACTATTTTACCCTTGCACTTTGAATTCCTCCAGTACCTAGGACTAACTAATGAGGAGAATGCTTATTAGCTCATTTTGTGGGCCAGCGCTGGGTTCTCCTCCATAGGTAGTTGGGGACAGGGAGCACTATCTTATTTTCATTTGAAGAAACCAAGACTTAGGTCAAGAACTTGTCTTTGTATGGCATGACACTTAGTGATGGATGGGGAGTTCTAATTTGCAGTTTGCATTTAACTTGCTTAAAAGTTGGTGCTCATTTTTCTGTGTCACAGTGCATCTCAGAAAGAAACTTCTTAGGGAATGTGTGTGTTACTGATGACAGCTGGGCTCTTACTGTTTTAGCAGCAGTGTGAACAGATGAAGCAGACATGAAGGGGGAAATGGCAATGTGTACTATGTGACAGGCACTATGCTAAGCATGTCATCCTCACTGAGCATTTATGAAGGTTTTCTATTTTTAAAATGAGCCACCCGAGCCATGAAGAAGTTAAGTGACTTGACCACAATCACAACCCATGTGGTAGCACCAGGATTTCAGTCCAGATCTGACTCAGAACTCATGCTTTAACCACCATGTGATTTGAAGCTAGATAACAAGGAAATACATTTAAATACGTAAGGAATGTGTGTGTGTGTGTGTGTGTGTGTGTGTGTGTGTACACACACACACACCACACATACAGGTAATATATACTACTACTAAAGACATCAGATCAGTGCTAACTCCTGCAGTATAGATGTCCCAGGTTGAATAAAATAGTTTCCTAAAATCTCTACATTTGTAACAATGACAAAGGATGGGCAGATGGCTGCAGGATGTATGAGGTTCACCTCATGTATGCAAGAGGTGCATATCTCAGGTATGAGGTTCACCTCATACATGAGGTGAAGCTTATGTATACCTCAGCTATTAGGGCAAGAAGTATACATTTTAGTACTTGTACTAAAACTAACAAATTCTTGATATGAAAAATAAAAGCATTATTGGTGATTTAGGTGTTACAATTGCTTTTCCTAACAAAATGCCAGAACAGGTTGATTCTTTAACTTGAAATCGTTTCATGGGAATTCTGTTAGGTGATTGGGGAATTTGTGATCCCTCTGTCTGAAAATATTAACCAAAAAATAGAAGGGAACTTTTCAAGGTGCAAAATAGTGTTTAAGAGTTTAGAGCCAGAATTATCCCTGGCTTTCTTTTCTACTAGTATGGTGACCTCAGCAAATTACTTAATCTTTCTGCCTCAGTTTCCTTACATGTAAAGTGAGGATAATAATCGTACCTTTGGCAAAGCAGTGTTGTGATGACTGAGTAAATGTAAAGCACTTAGAGTCTGGCACAGCAAGTGCTAGGAAAGTGTTGGCCACCACGGTGTGGTCTTCCTTGTTGCAGTTATTTCAAAGGCGGTAAGTCTTTTAAATTGCAAATGCCCTCAAATGTCATAAATCATTGTACAAAACTCTTCAGAAGCCACCACTTAAGAATCCCATTGAAATATCTGGCAGGCAGGCACTTGTGGGCAGACTTCTGGGCAGGGCACTGGAGGTGCATCCAAAGAGAAGAGGGTGTTGAAGGACTCACGCTTGACAAATGCCTGCTGTATACAAGGTGCTTTGCCCACAGGATGTTATACACCTTAACAAGTCCTCCTGAGGGAAGGAAGCAGGATGAAGCCCCGTGTCACACCCCTGAGAGTGGTAGTCTGTGCTCGCCCAGTACCTGCACAGTCTCCCAGGTACTGGGGTGCTGGCAAGTGAGGGAAGTGCTTCTAGGAACCTTGCCCTATTCAGTGTAAAACCAGCATTTTGGTCCCCTACACTTGACTTGGCACATTCAAATCTGATCTAGTTTGCTCATGGATGGCAGCAGCCCTCGTACCCCCACTCTAAGGGCCCCCGTGAGTGTGCACATGCGTTGATAGGAAGGAGAGGGTTGTGGAAAGGCAGCCCCAGCCTTCAGCTGCAGTATCATGCAGATGCTGGGGACGTTGAGAGCTGAAAGGCACTCTTAAATTATGCAAATGCAATACTGCTTTTAAAAGCATCTGAGGCAAAAGTCTCCCTCCAAAAAAAAAAAAAAACTGTGTGAGCTGGGACTGCCAGTATGGCTAACAAAGTGGGGACGAAATTCTGCAAAATAAAACTAGTCTCAGGCTAACCAGAGATGCTGACAAACCTGAGATTCCAGGCAGATCTAAATTAGAAATCAGCCAAGGGAAAACACAGTGATGAGTCCCCCTTAGGGATTCCAGTGAGAATTCTTTAAATTCATGGCCCTGATGGAGTTAGCAGTAGGAGAGGCAAGCCCTGGAGATGCATATGGCCTCAGTGGCTCACCCACCCTCAACCCTAGGTGAATCCTCTGCTTTGCCATCTTCCTCCCCTGGACTCTCTGGACCTGCTGCTTGCCCTGTAAACCTGGATTATCTCCACTCCCTACTCCTGAATGGGGCCCTCGGCAAGAGAGGCCTGTGGCTATGCTGATGTGAATGTGGCTGGGCTGGGCTGGTGTCTGCAGGACAAAACAAGGGCTGGTTCTGACTTTGGTTTGAAGGTGATTTTCCCACAGATCCCCCTTGGCACGCTGCTTTTGCCTCATTTGTCTCTGCCTTTGGCTCTAAATCTTAGTCTTAATTAGATTGTGTTTACATTTGCACCATATATGTGGTCTGGCACTTGAAGATTGGATAAAGAGTTACACAAATATTTAGACTCAGGGTGTTCCAGTGGAAGGGGAGAGGCTGGAGACCAGCCACTCCAATGCCCTCATTTACCTTTGTTCTTGTGTCCGTCTTGTGAAGCAGGGACCCTGCAGGTGGGAAAAAGAGATGGCAAGAAGACAGCCAATGTCACATTTTCCCTCCCAAGACAGGGATGAAAAACCACCAAGAGGGCTTTTGTGAAAATCTGGAAAGATGAGAAAAGCCCACTTTAGTCATTGGATCTCATTTCATCTATTGTTAACCTGGAGGAGTGGTGAGCCCACTGTTCCTGCCAAGCTCTTTCAGTAGCCAGCCAGATGAGGACCCTTAACAGAAGTGCTTCTGGGCAAGTGCCACAGGGACTGCTCTGATACCAGGATGACCTCAGGCGAGGCTCCAGTCCTTTCTCGAATGGCCTCTCAGGGCTGAGGAGGCGCAGGTGAGAAAATGTGCATGAGCTCTCTATACACAGTGAAGTTCATCCAAATGGAGCGGGATGGCTTGTCTGGTCTGCTGCACCTCCCTTCCCCACCCCCATAAATAACAGCAGCCCTTCCAGCTCTCCTTTTGATACTGTGCTCAGTGATGGGGGCCTTGCAGTGGGCAGCCAGAGCCAGCATAGCCAAGCTTTGTTGGTTCCCTTCCCTCTGAAGGTGAACGGGACAGCATTTGTTCTCTTTGGTGTGTTGCTTTTAGACAAATTCAAAAGCTGCTGAGTTTTAGAGCGTGTTTGTCACTGCCATCGTAGTTCTCTTGTTCAGGCAGCAGTGAGAATCTGCTCAGCACTCGTGAGCACTGAATGCTGAACTGCCTGAGAAGGCTTTCCTGCCCTGCAGTGACACGGGCTCAGCACCTTCTTCAGGCTCCAGGAAGCTCGTACTCATGGCCATTGCAGCACTATGGAAAACCCGCAGCTCCTACCATCATTTGACTACATGCCACTCAGGTAATTTTGCTTTTGGAAAAGTTCTGTGAATGTGTTTGTAACTTTGAATGTCTTAGTCTCTCCGATACACCAGGATTCACTGTGTCTTCCCACTGATTAGCTGCTGACATCACACTACAGTCAAATAATCATCATGTTGGCTGCAGTCTGGTGTTGGTTTTGGTGATGTTTGCTGTCCGTGAGCATTAACGTGGTGTTCAAAGCTCACCCATCTATCAAAAGCATCTTTTCAAATACATTTTGTTAGTGTTCTAGATATGAATATGCTTTTGGAAAAAAGTAGGTCCTCATAAGGGAGAAACGAATAGGTTCTCTGGGATTAGCCAGTGGGAATGGGGTTGGAAAGGGCTTTTGAAGGTTTTAAGTTGCATTTCTTTGGTGTCCACATGTGGTTTCATGGACCTGGTCTTTTCTGGTCTAATCCTGGATTTCATATCCCCTTCACTGCTGGTCCCTACTCCTCAGCCCTTGTTCCTCAGCCTCCTGCACTGGGTGTGCCAGCTCCCCAGCCCCGTGCACTGATGCTTGCTGTGGTCACCAGTGTTCTCCCAAATGGCTGCCACAAGGACCACAGTCTTCAGCCAGCATCATCTCTGTAGCAAGGCGCTGTTCCCTACTCAGGGGAGTTCGCTGCCCTCTGCGGCTCCCCTCCCCAGTACCCCAAAGGCTGGGTGTACCAAGCTGCAAATCAGACCAGGACACGTTACCAGTGAAAGTGTTTAATAGTTAAATTATTTAAATAGACTTTTCAATTTCCATGGGAAATCATAATCGTATCCGTTTTTGCAAGAGTAGGAATAAAAAGAGTGCACACCCCTTAGAGGGAACGAAGAGTTAGCACTGCACCTGCACGCGGTCACCAGTCACTGCTAGGATGGGAGAGGGGCCTCCATGGGGCCAGGAGGCTGTGACCATGGGGGAACATGGGATGAACTCAGCACACACACTTTACTCAGGTTGGAAGCAGAACGAAAACCCACCACCACTGGCAGGCGCTGTGGAGGGGCAGGGAACTTGAGAACAACAGCTGGGAGAAGGCGGGCCTCCTGCGGCCCACGGCAGGATGGCAATGTAGAAGCACGGGACAGACTCAGGCTTGGCAGTTTTGGGTCCACACACTTTGCTTCTCAGAGCTGTGTTTGAATTGTGGTGGGATTGGTGTGCAGGGAAGGGAGGGTGTTGATCCGAGCCCAGTGAGAGGTGGTGCAGGTGGACATCAAAGTAACATTTTGGCAGCTGGCACAGCCGCTGCCTTACTGCCTTCAAGCTCATGTTGGAGGGAGGATAATTCTAACCTGAGAAGCAATGGAGAGATTTGGGCATGGGCCCTAAGGATTCTGTTTGAATTCTGTGATACAGTATCATTTTCCATATGCTTTCCTCATAGCTTATAAAAATAGTATTTTTTTCTTGGTATGTTTAACTGCCCCATCCCGATAAAAGAAAATTTCTGCTAGCTTTCCCTGTGGACTCTGAAGCTGGGCTCTACCCATTCCTCTGCCTGGTTTGCCGGTGGAGGTCAAGGCTACTCCCTTTCCCCAAACCTGAGGGCTCGCTGCACATTGCATCCCTGGACTGAGTGATCATCTCCAGGAAGAGCCACCTGTACCTTGGCCAACTGAGCAGGCCAGGCAGGCTTGGTTTCCTTGCCCCAGCCTGCAGAGCACCCGGGAGTTTGCAGGACCTGCCTCTGCAGGCAACAAATGTCTGAAATCTCAGGGTGTGGAGGGTGCCATGCTACCTGCTGCAGAATGAGGTTGCTTCCCTTGGTTCCAGCTTGGCCTGGGATGGGAAAACAGCTTTTTTCTTATTTCATCTGCATTTTGCGTAGGGGAAGCAGGGTGTCTGCATGTGTGTACACACGTGTGTCAGAGAAAGATGGGTCAATGTGTCCGTGCATCCTCAATCTGAGCATATGGCACCCCGAAAGCACACACCCACTGCCCCGGTGGTACCTGGGAAAACCAAAACTGCCAAATCTGAAATAAGGGAAACGCATCCTGCGTAAGACCAGTTCCACAGCATGAACATACACACATATACACTAGTACATACAGCAACATACACACAGTACAAATGAGCACACACGCCCTGCTGTGCACAGCTGTTTTCTAATTTACAAAATATAGAATTTGGCATATCTGTGAGATCTCCAAGGCTTTCAATAATACAAAATAAAAAATACAAAAAAGACAAGTGGGGATCCCTGCCCTCCCCCCGAGTGGCGTCCTCATTTGCTTGTGTGTCTTACACGCATACAACTAGCATAGTCTAAAGAAGGGTACGGAGAACTAGTTTTGTTTTGTTTAATAAATATTTTTTTCTCAGAATCACCACTCCTTGCTTGGTGTCCTCTTTCCTCCCCCTCATAATTAGTTCTGTTTGTTTCCCTCCTAGGGCACTGTCTATGTGCGTGGAGGTGTGGGCAGAGGACCACGATGAAGGCCACAGTCCCTCCAAAGCCAGCACTCCTGCCCCAAAGCCCCTGCAGGTGCAGGGTCGTGGCCTCTGTCTGAAGGTTAAAGGCTCACATGGAAAAGCAGACCCCTAGGCTCCTCCAGGCCGGAGTGGAGCCCATCTACCCCCAGCTGAGGCGGAGGCCCCTCCCTCAGCCCTGCCCCTGTCTGGGCTGCGCCACACACACACTCCCACGGCTCCTTTCCACCTGTGCAGCAGCACCTGTTAGAAAACTCAAGCTTCAGACCCAGTCTAGCAGAGTCTTCTACAGAGGGAAACATCTTTGGTCAGCTGGGTGCTCGCAGGACGCTGGCACCTCGGGGCCTGGGATAGAGGCCGCTGCCCACCAGCCTGCCCACCAGCAAAGGCAGAAGCTGCTCTGGAGTCCAAGTGGAAAATCTCAGCAGCGCAGTCCTGCGGGCTGGAGCATGGCTTCCCCGCCACCCCCGGCACACAGAGAAGCTGCTTCCATGCCTCTGGAGGCCAGGCTGCCTGGCCCCACTGGCCAGCAGCTGCTAACTGAGCGGGGGCCCTCCATTGAGGAAGTACGTCATCATCTCGCCTTTGCCCTTGACCTTGACCACACCCCGGCACTCCAGTTGGTAAGTGTTGGCAGCCAGCACCTGGTACATGTCCGTGGTGACCTGTGAGAGCAGAAGAGGAGAGAGGACAGGCCACTGATGGCCTTAGCCATGAACTGCTATGGGGTAAAGCCACCTCTGACTGCCCAGCCCTTCTGCCACAGAAGGAGAGGGGCAGCTGCCCTACTGTCGTGCTCTCAGGGACTAACAGTAGCTCACCATGGAAGGGACCCTAAGAATAGAGCGATGCCAGCTCTCCCTCAGCACCTGCTCAAGCCAGGCACTGTGATGGGCAACTTCCGTGTGCTGCTTCTGTGCCACTCAGTGTGGCCTGCGGTCCATGTACTGACGCCCTGAGTCGAGAGTCAGTTCAGGAGTGGGGAGTAAGTACAGAGAGGCTTTCACAGCCATCTGACCTGGCCACAGCCCGTCTCCAAGTGTGTCCCCGGTGCAACCAAAACATCCCTCCATGACAAAACGATTTTTTAAAAGCTGTTTTTTCACCACAGGTAGTTTGAGAGCCACCGCTTATGTCACTTCATCTTCCTGTGAAGTGACTTAGAGCATCTAAGTCACATGCCTGAGGTTACACAGTTAATAAATGGCAAGGGCTGGGTTCAGGTTCAGGTCTTGTTGCCTGGCTCTGCTTTAGCTTTTGGAAAGAAGAGAGCTCACTGGTGGCTTCTTTAACTCCACTATCCCATTGCTGGGTGAAAGAAAAGAGTGGCAGGGTCAGGTGTGGGGGGTGTTCCTCCTGGGGTGACCCAAGGGCCATTTGTGAGCATCGTCAGAGCTCCCCACCCCAGCCATGCTGCAAGCCCACTGGTAAGTGCCAGGGAGCAGGGAGTAGGAGAGCCAGGTGGGCTGCTGAGAGGGGACCCCACTGTGTTACTAGCTGTAGTTCCTGCATGGTGAAGCCCCCACACAGGGTGAGGTGCTGGGTCATTGTGGTAGCTACTGAGAGAGTCCCTTGCACCTGTCCCTGAATGGGTTGGAAGCCTTATAAGCATATATGCCCCCTACTCCTATCACTATGCTCGTCCTGCCACCCTTCTCTCCTCCACAGGGATGGAGGTGAGAAAAGGCCATGAAGGCCAGGCCCTTGGGCCAGCATCCCCATGCCAGCCAGGCTGACTGGCGCAGGGCTGTGCTTGGGGTCAGCCCCTCATTCAGAGGTCCTATGGGGGAGAGAAGTCGGGACATTTAAGCAGTATTGGTGTTGGCAAAAGGCCTTAAAAGCAGCACAGTTAGCACCTGGAAAAACTGAGGCCAGGCGAGCTGACTTCCCACAGCCTCACACCGAACTAGAGGTGAGGGCTGTGCAGGAGGGGTGGTGCCTCTGCCATCAGACTGCAGCTGAGAACCAAAGAACGCTCAAGAAAAAGCGGAAGGCCTGGAAACCCCAAGCCCAGCTTGCAAAGGAGGGAGCAAGGGGAAAAGACCTCTGGGTCTGGCCAGGGCCCTGGGCTGCTGGGGTTGGGAGAGGTACCATCCAAAGGCCAGCAGCCCCCACTGGCTCTCCTGAGCCAGGCCAGGAGTGCTGCAGGCTCAGTGGGTAAGATCTACTCCCTGCAGACATCTTTGCGTCCTCTTTCTGTGCCTGGGAAGCACTGGCGCCTCCCTGTGCTCTCAACTTGGCCTCTGCACTCAGCTCCACTCCTAGCAACCCCCAATCCCTTCCATGCCCAGTAGAGGGCTCTGCACAGACCTGAAGATCTGTCCAAGGTGCTGAGGGCCTGAAACACAATTGTGTTCAAGCTTCCAAGACAGCGTCACCTGCCCCATCAACCTTGAATCTGGCTACAGAAATTCTGACTGGGAACTGTGGGTGGCCTGCCCTGAAGACCTCTCAGCATCACACACAGGCCCTCCCATGGGGTTGAGGGGTGGTGGATGCTCCTGCACTCACCTGGATGCGGTCGGGCACACCAGTGCTGTCCATGCGGCTAGCCACGTTCACCGTATTACCCCAGATGTCGTACTGAGGCTTTCGTGCCCCGATCACCCCAGCCACCACGGGGCCGATGTTGAGCCCTGCAAGGGACAGGAGTTAGCCACATTCATCAGGTTAGGACTGACACATGTCTGGCTTGACCTCACCACCATCCTTCTCTCCACACGCCGCAGGTCCTTCTGACTCCTGGCCTGAGACACCCGTGGACCTCCAGACTCAAGGCTGTGCTTAACCCTGCAGGCTCTGCTTCCCTGCTCCTATGAAATGCCTGCAAATGCAAGACACAAGGAGCTTGCACCTGTGTCCTTGACACCCCTCGCCAGGAGTGCCCTCTTCAAGGCCTCCAGTGACCACCTGTGTAATCCAGTTACCTTTCCCTAATCCTCCTCCTCTTGGAGCCAACCTATCAGACTGGTCGTCTCCCTCTTCCTCACACCTGTTTCTTTCCTAGCCATTCTCACTCCTTGATCTTGACCAACTCATCACCCTGTGCCAATCTCTCTCCGAGTCCTCCTGCTCCCTGGCCTCCAAGCTGGGGCAGGCACACTGCAGGGACCAACCTCTGGCCACCACTTGGGCTCTCCTTTGTCCACCTTCCCAATCCAGCCCAAGGCAACGCTGAGCATCGCGGCCTCTGAGCCTTCCCTGAGCTGCTTCTCCCTCCTGAGGTGTCCTCCCTTCTCCTCCCCAGGCTAAATCCTGCCCCCACATATCCGACTAAACTGACGTTCTCTAGACATTTCCTGTCCTGTCTGCAGGCACTGGGCGTTCCCTCCTGTGTAACCTGCTGGTCTCACACTGTCCTTATTAAGCCTCACTATTGCCTGTTTCTTGTGTATGAAGGGCAGGACTGAAAACACAGCAGAGGCTCCAAACTAGGCCCCTGGTGACCCCTCACTTGGTCAGCAATGCCATCAGTCCTCAGAACTTGCCTCCACGACCCTCCTCATCAGTCCTTCAAAGCCACAGGCAGCTTTATGCCCCATGTGCCATCACCAGGCTGGACTGTCCACCTTGCTGATCGGACTGACCCCTGACGGTTTCTATTTCCTGAAGCCAAGCCACCCAGGGAAGACAGACTTGAATGTGTAGGAAGGGAGCTGCTACACAGGCTCCCATAATCTGGGGCTGGGCACAGTGGCTCACACCTGTAATCCCAGCACTTTGGGAGGCCGAGGTGGGCGGATCATGAGGTCATGAGATCAAGACCATCTGGCCAACATGGTGAAACCCCATCTCTACTAAAAATACAAAAATTAGCCGGGCATGGTGGCATGTGCCTGTAATCCCAGCTACTCAGGAGGTTGAGGCAGGAGAATCGTTTGAACCAGGGAGTCCAAGGTTGCAGTGAGCCAAGATCGCACCACTGCACTCCAGTCTGGCAACAGCGCAAGACTCTGTCTTAAAAAAAAGGAACCTGAATCATTGATGGCTTGAAACATACCCAGGGAGTTGATAACAGAACAAAGGCCTGCTCTTTCAGAAAGCATTTTACCTCCACAAACCTCAGGAGGAGCAACACTCCACCAAGCAAGCTTTCTATTGCAAAACTAACTTGTGCTCCATCAGACTGTATATCCTTGGTAAGATACATTCTAAGGACAAACAAACTGCAGAAATATCTCTAGCTTTTTTTTTTTTTTTTAATTTTTTAAAGGTGGGGTTTCACCATGATGGCCAGGCTGGTCTTGAACTCCTGACCTCAGGTGATCCACCCACCTCAGCCTCCCAAAGTGCTAGAATTACAGGCATGTGCCACAGCGCCCGGCCCAATCTCTAGCTTTATGGAACAGTTCAGAGCTAGCATTACATGGTCATTTATGGAGACAAGTAGGGTGGAACACATGGAGAAGTGTGTACCTGGGTTTTCACCTTACCATTCTTTCAACTCTTCTGTAGAGTTGAAACTTATCCCAAAAAAAAAAAAAAAAATATATTAGGGGTAATGAAACAAAACTGACTTAAAAGCAAATACAGATGTTTTTGGTTGAAAGACTTCCTGAGCAAGAATAAGGTCATAACTATCTTGAAACTGATCCAGGACCTCTGCCCAGAATCCCCCTTCCGGACACCACAGAGGCTTCAGCACAGCTCCCCCAGACCCATCCAGCCAAGGAACGGCATGTGACACAGAAGGAGCCCAGGGAAGACACAGGGTCTTGACTCATCATAAGCTCCTCACCATTTCTTTCCCGTTTGTGTGAATGAGCAGCTGCTAGATTTTGCTCACCACCTCAACTCAACAATAACCCCACTGATCCATTTCCTAAGATTACTATCTTTTAAAAGTCAGAATCATTTCATGGTCACTATCACATGATTCTTTCAATGTTTAGTTTTTTTT